TATATACAAAGTAGTTAAATAACAGATCATTTTGGAAGGAAGGCACCAGCAGTTGAGAAGGGATCAGGGAAGGCTTCATACAGAAGATGGCACTTCGGCTGCATTTTAAGGAAAGAAATTCACTCTATGAGGAAGAGGTGAGGAAAACATACATTCCTGGCATAAACGTGGGACCTGAAGTGTCTTGGTGAGAAATGGAGGAGAATTTGGCTGGATCACCGAGTGCCAGATAGGTAATAATTTTCAATGAGGCTAAAAAGGTAGATTGGGATCAACTTGTTTAAGGCTTTGTAAGCTAAACCAAAGAGTTTATATTTTATCCTAGGGATGATAGGAAACCATTGTAGTTGGTTCAGTATGGGAGTTGTCCCACCTGTGCTAAAGGGAAATTACTTTGGCAGTAGTATGTGGAATGAAGTAGAGAGTTCTGAGATTTGACACAGGGAGATCAATATGGTTTGTTGTTGAGTCTTGTCTAATTCTTTGTGATCCTATTTTGGGGGGGTTTCTGGGCAAAGATACTGGAGTGGTTTGCCATGTCCTTCTCCAGCTCATTTTACCAATGAGAAGCTAGTGAGTGTTTGAGGCCAGATTTGAACTCTTATATTCCTGACTACAGGATACTATATTCACTGCACCACCTAAATGACCAATAAGGAGGTTGTTGCAATAATCTAGGCAAAAGGTTATAAGGGCCTGAGCTAAGGTAGTAGTTGTGTGAGCATTAAGGAGTCAGATATAACAGATGTTATGAAGGTAGAAAGAGCAAGATTTGGCAACTGCTTAGATATGCAGAGTGAGAGAGAATGAGAAGTTGAGAATAATGTTTAGATTACAAAGCTAGGAGACCAGAAAGGTTGATAGAAACAGGTAAGTTTGAAAGGATGGATAGAAAGGAGTATGTTTGGAAGAGCAGAGGGTTTGGGGCAAAGATGTTAACCACCTATTATGTGGAAGCTACCCAAAAGGTACACGACATAGTAGTTAGAGAGCTGGCCTTAAGGGTAAGGAAGACCTAGGTTCCTGAGTTCTAGTCCTGTTTCATACACATTCTAGATGTGTGACCATGGACAAGTCATTCAGACAACTCTCCAATTCTCTAAGTTAACAGATGATTTGATGATGTACTTTGGTGGAGGGAGATTAAAGGAGAGGCCCCTGCACCGATGAAATTGTGAATCTGGAGTCTGCCTGCACCCACTCACCACCAATCAAAAAACAAAACAAAATACAAGGATCACGATGGAAATGGCAATAAAAATACAAATGTTATGATTGCTTTTGTTATTGCAGAAATGTGGGAAAGGAATAAGCATTTATATAGCCCCTAATATGTGTCAGGCACTGTGCTAAGTGCTTTTACAGATAGTATCTCATTTGATCTTCACAACTACCCTGCCAGGTAGGTGGCCTTATTACCCCTGCTTTACAGTTAAGGAAACTGAGACAAATAGAAGTTAAAGTGATGCATCCAGGATGCACAGCTAGTAAGTATTTGAGGTAGGATTTGAACTCAGGTCTTCCTGACTCCAGGCCCAGTGATCTCTCTATATACTGTACCTCCAGCTGCCTCTTTATTGTTGTTTTAGTAGTGCAGATGAACTTGTGGGTAAAAATATATAAGCAACATAATCTCTAATTGAACTCCATCTCCTCAAATGATGGACTCAGGTAAAATTTTGGAGGGCCTTTTACAAAACCTTTTTTTTCTCATATCCCTTGCCATAGGAAACCATAGAAAACACAATATCTGGCTTATTTTGTTCTAAAAAGAACTCCCTTTTGGTTATTTGGGCTAATAAGACAACAAATATAGGACAGGTTTTATTTAATCTGAACAACAACAATAACAACTAACCACACAAAAATCATACCTTAGCCCCTCAACTCTCTTCTTCCTTCTTACACAGGATCCTATACAGTCATTCTGGTTTCAAGTACTACATAATATAATTCAACGTTGTTAGAGATTCCACCTTCCACCCTCAATTTACACAGTCTTTATATTTTACAGTGTAGTGCTAGCAAGTTGATAGGTCTGGATTATTTCTTGGTGCATGGGGCTTCCTGCTGTGCTCATCTGTTTAGCAGTAAAAAGCCCAAGTTCTATAGGTTTGCTATTATCCCTCTCTGGTCTCTGTCACCATTTCATTGTCTCCATCTGGTGCTAGCTCTTGGGTGCATGTGGTTTCCTACACAGTCTCATGTGCACCTTTGCTGTCTCTTTTCTCCTCACAGTCTGTGTGCTTTCTTCTGTCTAGAACATCTCTTTTTTCGTGTGTGTGCACACCCTAATAATCATCTGTGGATGACGATGGAAGAGTTTAACAAATTATTTCTTTGCATACCCACTTGTGTGCATATACACATATTTATACACACATCCATATATACATACCTATGTGAATGTATTTATATAGATGATGATTTCTTTATCCAATTCTTTTTTCCTCCTTTCACACTATTTATTTTTTGCTCCTGTCCCTATTCCTCTTTCCTTTAAAAAAAAAAACCCTGGGTTTTTTTACTTATGTTTTGTTTTTATATTGATAAAATTCCTCTCCATTTTCCTACTTCTCTCCCTTCCACAGAACCTCATTAACAAAGAAACTATTAAAAGAAAAAAAAAGACAAAGAGTAAGAAGTAGAGGGGCAAACTGGTAAAAATCAATCCATTGAAAAATCTGAAAATGTATACATTTTCCCATACTTTTGATCTTATGGAGGAAAAAAGGGTATTATAATTCAAAAAGAACCACTAATAGCTAATATAGACTACTATATATATTATATATATGCATACTTTTTTTTTAATAAAAAGAAGCATTACTACAGGAAGAAGAATATGAGCAATTAACAGAATGTTCCTTATGATGACCAGATCTTTGATTAAGAGCAGTGAGAGACACTAGAGGCAATCTAATCTAAACCCTTTCATTTTTACATATGTGGTAGTAATATTTCATACCTCAGATTTCTTAAAGCTCATTGTTAGGACTGTTCCCTTACACTTATCCCTACCTAATGTCTTGCTTATTATTTATGGCTATGCTTTTCTCTGCCTTCTGTTGTAAGTTTCCTGACAATGGAATAATATTATATCTATTTTTGTGTAACACTTAGTACCTAGTATGGTGCCTTGTACATTATTTTAACCAGGTCTCTTATTCCATTGGCATACACACAAGGAGTAATAGAAAAAGTAGGATTGAGAATGTTTATCCAAATCAATCCAATAAACATTTATTAAGTGCCAGGCACTTATTGTTACTATGTGCCAGGGATTGTGCTAAGTGCTGGAGATACAATTAATAGAAAAAAAATACAGTCCTTGTTCTCAAGGAGCTTACAGTCTAATGGGGGGAGACAGCATACAAAAGGAGATAAGAAGGCAGACTTGGGGGTGTGGAGGACACCAGTGGGAACACTGCTGGGGGCATGTTGCTGAATGGAGTTAAAACACGGCAGAGTAGCAGATACAGAGGGGAGTGACCTACATCCAATTTCTGCCCTCTGTAAAGGAAGGCATTGGGAGAATTTTGGAGTTCCACCTTCCAGCTCTCTGAGCAGAAGGTATAGGCAGAAGAAAGTGATATCCTTTTTTTTTTTTTTAAGTGAGGCAATTGGGGTTAAGTGGCTTGCCCAGAGTCACACAGCTAGTGAGTGTTATGTGTCTGAGGCTGGATTTGAACTCCAGTCCTCCTGACTCCAAGGCCGGTGCTGTATCCACTGTACCACTTAGCTGCCCCAATGTTGGATCATGGTAGGTTTTTGTTGTTATTTAATCATATCCAACTCTTCATGACCTTATTTGGTTTTTTTTTTTTTAGCAAAGGTACTGGAATGATTTGCCATTTCCTTTTCCAGCTTATTTTATACATGAGAAAACTGAAGGAAATACGATCAAGGGACCCAGGGTCACACAACTAAGTAAGTGTCTAAGGCTGGAGTTGAATGAAGGAGGTGGTCAATCAAGGCTTGAGTTAGCAGCATGGTGGCAAATTTAGAAGTGATGAGCTTAACCTGGAAGAGGAATCTTGTTCTGTGAAGTTGAAACCAAGCAGAGCAACAGATGCAAAGTGAAGCTATGTATATACTTATATGTACATATTACTGTCAGGCAAAGTCTTTTTCAATCTTCACTATGTCCTGGAGAGCATCAGCTCACAATGGCTTGAGGAAAGTCAGTCAAAAAGAATTATATTAAGTACTTGCTATGTGTGAGGCATTATGCTGAGTGTCAGGGAAGCAAAGAAAGGGAAAGTTGTGGTCCCTATTCTCAAGGAGCTCATATTCTAATGAGGAAGACTACATAAAAACCAGAATGTCCATACAAGATATATACATCTTCTGTATATGAAAATTATTGTTGTTGATATATGTATATGTATGTATATATCTTCTATATGTGGAAATTATTGTTGTTGATATATATGTATCTTCTATATGTGGAAATTAATGTTGTTGTTTGTCCTTCCTTCTCAAAGAGGACTATGACATCCGGAAGGTGATGCCATGACATGCAAGTGAATTGGAAATTAATCCCTGAGGGAAGGAACACTCCTGGGAAAGACTTTCCATAAAAGATGGGATTTTGTCTGATTCTTGAAGGAGTGCAAAAAGGCTAAGGATCAGAACAGAAAGAGCATTCCTCGCATACATAGACTGGGCCAGTGTAACTAGAGGGAAATAAAGTGTAAGATTAGAAAGGAAGGAAAAGGCCCTATTATGAAGGACTTTAAATGCCAAACCTAAGACTTTATATTTGATCCTGGAGGTAATAGGGAATCACTGGAGTTAATAATTCACCCTTAAATTTCCATACCCCATTCTTACAAATATCAATAGCAGCTTTTTTCCCCTGCAGCTTTCAATGCAGCAGTGGAAGGATAATGATAATAATAATAATATAATAATACCTTGATTATAAACTTTAAAGTCATTTAAAACCCTCTTTTTTAATGTAAACCCACTGTTGTTTTGTGTTTTATTTCTTCCAGATGGAAACTATATCCCCGGATGCTCCGGAATGTTTCTAAAATAGATCTGACCACCTCTGTTTTGGGACAGAGGATCAGCATGCCTATATGTGTTTCACCCACAGCCATGCAACGCATGGCTCATGTAGATGGAGAGATTGCTACTGTGAGAGGTAAACAGGGCTTCTTGGGGGGTAACAAAGAGACAAATGTCATGATTTTGACTATCTGCTTGACTTTCTGGCCATGATTCCTTCTTAAATACAAATAGGTTTTGCTCACATCAGAACTGTTTACTTGGTGATGAGAAATTCAATCCATTATATAAAGCATTTCTTATTAAAGGCTGATGTAGTAATTTCTCTAGTTTTGCTTTCTACACCTGCAACAGTTATATTCATGGTATAAGGCTGGAAGACACGTACTCAACAGCAGAGTTTTGGAGACTTCATCTTTAGAAACAAATGTAACTGTAACAACTGCAAACCTAGGAGGAATCTGAACAGAAGGGGCTAGCGTGGATGCACAACTCTCTCATTTATCTTTGATTTTAAAAAAAGTAATAAAAATAATAATATGTAGAACATGGAAGGAAAAGCAGGTAAAAGATGATGATATAAGAATATAGTGTAGTCCTATAAAAAATAATATCAGGAATCCTACAGCTAAGAACAAGAAAAAGTTGTAAATACAATCAAATAATAATGGCAAACATTCATATAGTGCTTTAAGGTTTACAAAATACTTTATAGATATTTCATTTTATACTCACAACAACCATAGGAGTTAGGTGCCATTATTTTACCTATTTTCATATGAGGAAACTGAGGCAGACAGAGGTTAAATGACTTGGCTAGGGTCTCACAGCTACCAAGTGTCCAAAGTAGAATTTCAACTCAAGTCTTCTTGACTCTAAGCCCAGCACTCTATCCACTACTCCACATTGTGTTGTTGATTTGTCTATTTTCTTTTTAGCTTTATTGGAGAAAGGAAGGGGAGGGTATTTGAATTGATTATAGAAAGCAGAACTGCTCAATACTTATTTTGCTTATATTTCCTCTTCCAATTAATCAATAAACATTTATTAAGTGTCTAATATGTGCTAGGTGCTTTGCTAAGAACTGGGGATACAAAAAGAGGCAAAAGACAGTTCCTTCCCTCAAGGAGATTACAGTTTAACTGGGGGGGGGGCGTAACATGCAAACAAATATAAACAAAACAGGCTATAAACAGGATAAATAGGAACTAAGCACTGGAATTAAGTGGAATTAGGGAAGGCATCCAGTAGAAGGTGGAATTTTAGTTGAGACTTAAATGGAAACGACAGAACAAAATTGGTTAAAAAGATGTTGATATGCAAGATAAGTAAGAAAATAGTAAGAAAGCACATAGTGTTTCTTGATTAATTCAAGTCCCCTAGCTCCAGTGTCCTAGACACTGGAAGAATTAATAAATGTCCTATTGGGCCACTCTCAGTGAGCACTGTCAGTGCTTATAGAAAGTGAGACAGAACCATATTAATGAGTGGTAATTACATCGGCAAACCCAGGTAGTACATAGCCAGGGGCAAATACATTAGTCTATGACACTCTTTAACAGTTTCCTTAAACTCTCATATGCAAACTTGGCCACTGTAGTTTCTTCACACAGTAACTTTCTCAAGCAGATTTGGAGACTGAGTCAGGAGTCCCTTGATCAACCCCTTACTACACTAGCTTCTCAATTCAATATTTTTTGACCCTAGCAATTCAACTAGAGTATTTTGGCCATGTTTATTAACATATTCAATTCTTTATTTCTCTCTGGTGACTTGAAGAGGCTCAAGCATTATCCAATTAAATACCTGTCTCCTACCTTTCACAAAGGGTATCAGCAAAGTTCGTATATCACAAATTTTAGAAAATGTTAATACTAATAGTCTTTTGTGAGAGTGTGGACCAGGAGTTCTTCTTTGGAGTCCACAGATACCAAGGGGTGAATAGATTTCAGGGTGTCTATGAATTTGAATGGAAAAAAAAATCTTAATTTCAATACAGTTGGTTTCCTTTGTAATCCTATGCATTTTATTATATTCATTTAAAATATTGTTCTTAAAAGGTCCATAGATTTCATGAGACTGCCAAAAAAGTTCATAATACAACCCCTGGTCTAAACCTACTATAGCTGGTGACTAGAACCCCTGGTCTAGATCTACTATAGCTGCTGGGTCCAGAGACCCTCCAAAACATGGTTATACAAATTTAACAAGCAAGCAAAATTTTACAGTATTCCCATGGGTTACCATGTAAGAGTGCTGAGGAAATTATAAAAGAAAATAATGAAAATAATATAAATACCAGGGTAAAATAATCTTCACCTTTCAGAATAAGTGAAATAAGTCAACAAGCATTTATTAAGCACTTACTATGTTCTAGGCACTGTGAAAAGCACTGGGAATAAAAATATAAGCAAAAAGAAAGACAATCTCTGTTCTCAAGGAACTTGCATTCTAATGGGTGAAAAACACATAAAAGAGAGTTAAAAAGCAAGGGAGTGAAAAGAAGGTACCCACTGGGCATGGTAGAGAAAGAAGTTTGTGGAGTCCGGAGTCTACAGTGGAATAAAGAAGTAAACATCGCTGGCTTGGGCGCTTTCTTTAAAATGGAGATTTCAAGGAGGAACTGTACAATCAGATCAGAGGGGCTGCAGGTCCAGGAGGCTGCTGGGACATGGTAGAGAAATAATTCCCAAGAGTCAGAAGCAGAGCCCAAAGAGGATTGGGTCCCAAATGAGCTCTTAGAGCACATGGGACTCTCCCAAAAGGAACTGGAGACCATCAGCTGGATGTCATTTGTATCTTCAGGTGAGAAAACAAACTGTCCTGGATGAAAATTCTTCTTTGGTCCTTTTAGCACACAGACAACCCATAAACTTCTCCCTGAAAAACCAAAGGGTATTCCAAATGGAAATCTGAACAAAAATTTCCCTAGGCATGCAATTGGAGAAAGTGAACAAAATTTCTCCAGTGAGTTCCTGTAATAAAAAGTATTCAAGATGGAGATTTCAAATAAACTCCCACAATGCAGCACCTGGGGGGAAAGATGGCAGGGGGAGGGGATGGAATACGGGTGGTGGGATGAGACACCCTCACACAAATTTCTCTGCCACAATTAAGAAAGGAAATGGTAACAATCAAGAGTAGGTCATGGTAGACTCATCTTATTTCATTTTGTGACAGGGTTATAAAACTAGTATATCAGGGGAATATAGACATATTTTACCTAGATGTTAATGAGGTATTCAACAAAGGTTTTCACACTGTTCTTGTGGAGAAGACGGCAAATGTAGATGCAATAATAATACAATTATGTGGATTTGGAATTAGTTGAACAGTCAGACTAAAAAAGTTATGGTTAGTGGTTTAATGTCAGTTTGGCAAGAGGTTTCCAGTGGAGTCTGTCAGGGGTATGTACTTGGTCCTATGTTAATTAACATTTTTATCAATAATCTAATTAGCTAATTAATTACCATTTTTATCAATAATTTTATCAATTTGGATAAAGACATATATAGCATATTCTAACACATTGAGTGACAGAATTAAGATTCAAGAAGATGCTGGCAAACAAGAGGATTGGAATGACTCTAAAAGGACGAAATTCAGTGGGGATAAATGTAAAATCTTATACTTGAGTTCACAAAAATCAGATTCATAGGGATAGGAATTGAGAGTCATTTAAATGTTAGCGCATCTAAAGAAAAAGATCTAAAGATTTTGGTGGACTACAAGCTCAATGAGCAGAATTAGGAGATTTTTTTATACAGTAACAACCATACTATAAAAAAACAGTTTTGAAAGCTGGAAAAACTATGACTCAATACAATGACCATTCGTGATTCCAGAATATGGATGATGAAACTTAAAAAACTTATAGAGACATGACAGATTTAGGGTACAGAATGAGACTATATATGTATACATACACACACACATATACACACATACAGTATAACATATAGTATATACATTACTGTAAGTATGTACAAATATATATGTAATGTATAGTATACATCTATATACACAAATACTACATATATACATATATGAAGTATATATGTATGTTTTCCTCTTTCTGTACCCTAGGTCTGTCATGTCTCTATAATGTATATTATGCTTCATTTATATGTGTGTATATTTACACACACACACACACACACACACATACACAAAACACATTTATTATGCAGCCACTGGGGGAATTTGGTTAGATTCTGAATATTTATCACAAAAATTTTTCTTTTTTTCTTTTCCAATGAAGTGGAGGATGAGAGAGAGAGAGAGAGAAATAAATTTCTGTCCATTTAAAAAATAGAAAGGTATGGAAGGGTGCTATGGATGTAAAATGTTGCATGCACTTTCCAATGGCTTCCTTTCATGAAGTGAGTAATTGGTAAGCGTATGTAGTGTAAACACAAAACACCTCCATAAACCTTAAAAATACATGAGTTAACAGTATGATGTGGCAGCCAATAAAAGCTAATTCAATTTTGGGCTTTGTAGAGAGACATGTCTTCCAGGAATGCTGAAATGATAATCCCTCTGTACTCTAATATATCACATTTGGAGTACTGTGTTTAATTCTGGGCTGATAAGTTGGAGAGTATCCAGGGTAGGACTACTGGAATCATGAAGGACCATGAATCTATGTGATCTTAGGATCAGTTGAAGGAACTGGGCATGTTTAGCCTAGACAGAAGACTGGGGCAGGTGGTGGTAGCCTGATGCATTGCCTTCAAGTTTTTGAATGTCTGTCATGTGTAAGATGAATTAGAAACATTTTGTTTGGCCACAGGGATGATAATCAGGAGTAGTGTATAGAAATTTCAAAGAGTCAAATTTAATCTTGCTGTCAGGAAAATCTTAACAGGACACTCTAAAACTAGAACAATTTGGCCGGAAAGATGGTCAGTTTCTTTGTCTTTACTGGAATCCTGCAAGCAAGCTCAGGTTAATCAGTTGGATATTTTATAATGGTTGATTGATTCCCTTCAAATATAGGTTAGATTCGATGACTACTGAGGTTCCTGCCTATTTTGAAATTATGATTCTGTGAACTTGCATTTTGTACTTTTGACATATACTGATGCCAAAGGGCAGGAAATAAAGGTCAAAAGAGCAGGAACCAGACTCTAT